CTACAAGGGTGATCATCGAACACGCGGCCTGTTCTAACAAGGTGTCATCAACACGGCTGGTCTACAAGGGTGATCATCAAACACGCGGCTGTTCTAACAAGGGTGGTCACTCAACACGCGACTGATTCTACAAGGTACATCTAACACAGGGTTCATCGTGACAACGGTAAATTGAATTGGCAGAAATGAAAGAAGTAACTAAAACAAGGTAAGAGAAACAAACAAGCACACATACACACATGCATACGTACGCACGCATGTACACGTACGCACACATACACACATGCATACGAAATTAAGGATGGACATTGTCAGCCACACGGTCGCAAGAGAACATCATACAGCTCAAAATATTTAGCCAGGCAGCTGCGATGGAAATGATATATCTCTAACGAGGCCCGGCAGCTCGGGAGACGACAGTGGCAACCTCGCGTGGACACCGATGGGATGCGGTTGGCATGGTAACGCGCCACTCACAGGAGACTAGCATTGTGTAGCATCTCGGTGACTTCGCCAATGATAGCCAGCTTGCCCGCCGGTATGTTCAGCCAATAGTTGAAAGCCTGAATCCAAACAAGGACGCAATTTGTCGTTACGAAAACGCCAGTCTGCAAGACACGACTCGGTCTTAGCGTGGGATAGGCACCCACTGCCTGCGCGCACTTACCCTTATGCATGCGCATTTTAATAATAAAGCTCATCAATTATACCCATAAATCGTAATCTTTGGTCTACTGCAGTCTACTAACTAAAACTTAAAGAGTTAAACTAATGTTTTAGTCGACCACGACAGCTAGATCAAAACTTAAAATTAGTAAGAAAATAATACTTGCTTGTGCTAGCTTGGTGCGGATGCTCTTCCCAGGAACTTGTTGTATATATTGGTATGGTTCCAGCAGAATCTACAAGTAAATTATTCTTAGAAATTATGATTGCAGCAGTCAGTGTTACACTATCAACCTTTTCACACACAAAATTCGAAGCCGTTTCATACTCAGCTTTGCAACGCCTATGCATTTGACAGACACAGGTCTCAGAACCATGCCACATATCTGTAAATAGTTAACACGGGTGTAGCTCTAGTACTATAGCCCACGTACAGTTGCCGTAGGGCTATAGAACATTCTATTACGAATGCTCGGGACAAACTTATTCACGGTTACTCGCGGCTATAAAACGTCTGTGGTAAGCAATTAATCATTTTTTTAATGTTTCTTATCCGAAGCAAATGTGTCTTAAGTTATATCCCAGGGTTTCTTCTACATAGGAGGCACTGCAGCGCACCGCCGTTGTCAAATTTAACAATGCCGTTGTGAAAATGTCCCTGTATTTACCCGCCGTTGTCAAAATAGTGTTAATCCAAAAATAAATAGATTACCACGTGCTTCTGACTATATACATAGAAAATCGTAATGAAATTCACAGCAGCGTTTCTTTTTGCATGCCGGCACACTTAACTTGACTTAATGACACTTAATGACACTTGGTGTCATTCCCGATTGCAGCTTTTTCCTCGATTCCGGGAAAGTTTTGCTGTCGCTTCCTCATACCAGCAGTGCCCACCCCTACATAATACAGCAATAAGCATGCCCACGCGACTGTAACAATCAGTGCATTCGCCCCCCACCCCCCGTACTTCAATCAATGCCGCCCCAGCCAGCAAGCACAAGCCACGATGTGCACAGCCACGGACTTCGGTAACAGGGGTGTCGCGGGCTGCTTTTTTTCTTCTTTTTTTCTCTTGCGTGAATGCGTGAGAATACGTAGGGCATGCTGGAGTGCGGGAGAATGGGTGCAGATGCGTGAGTCTCCTGCAAAATGTGGAGCGTGAGACTTGGTAGGTCTGCTAACAGAGAAAGATTTAAACTAAAGGTGCAATTTTATTTTCGGGGTGCCTCAAATGCAGTCTAAGACATTCAAATTTTTAAAATTTTGCTGGGGGAGACCCCCAGAACCCCCCTCTACCTCTCTCCCCACATCTGCCTGCAGAATGCCCATTCGTGCCTACTGCACGCCTTTGAATCCATCATGTACGTTTTTTCCCCAAACTGGCCATTACCGCCGTTGTCTAATTTTCCCTCAGAAGAAACCCTGTATCCGCTACTGAAATTTAACCTCTAACTATCGTTGAAATGGTCTACTTGCGGTATTTCTTGTGAACGAACATCATTTCCGCACGTGGAGGGGTGTGGCGAGTTGTGTTGGCTGCATGTGAACAAAAACATTGTTGTTGTCAAGTATCAAATTAAGCGATCAACAAAGATTGTAATATTAGTTATGTCATGGAAGATGAACAAATTACTATTAGTATTATTAATTTGTTACTTGACAACAACAACCTTTTTGTCCACAACCATCGCAACCCGCCCACCCCTCCATGTGCGGAAGTACATAGTTCCCGCTGACTGGCTGGAGTAAGTTGGTCCCGAGCATTCGTAATACTAATACTAATACTAATAGTAATAGAATGTTCTATAGCCCTGCGGCAACTGTGCGCGGGCTATCATATATACGCCGCTATGTATACTAGAGCTAACACGGGTGATGGCCGAGCTTTCGTCAATAGAATAAAATTGAGAGCAAAATCAGGATGTCCGCAGCAAAAATCAATCTGTCTGAGGTGCTATCACAAGGTTGTTAATATTGTTATAATTGCAGTGCATTACTGCAGAATATAATTTCAAGACAGTGAAAGTAATCATCTGTGACTGTAAATTGTCATTGTATTTGTAATAGTAATAGTATTCAATGTTTTACTTTCTCATCTTCTTTAGAGTGAACTGGGGCGTCAGGTGTAGACTTATCATTTGACTGGTGCGAGCTACTGCAGCTTGCCATCACTTTTATATATTTCACTGAAGAATCTAAACAATAATTCTACGTGCAGAACACTAAATCAGAAAGCGAACAGAGACTACAATAAGAATGAATGAATGGGCGCTGACATGTTGTGTATTGCTGATTTATTGCTGCCCCCTCTCGGAGATAATACACAACTTTTATTACCCAAATTCCGCTAGAGGCGCCACCATCCAATGGCATTTGAAAATGCCATGATAAATATAATAATATAGAAATAATATAATATAGGTTATCTATATTATTTCTATGAGAGGATGTAATGCTGGGTAAAAGAAAAATTTTAAGGTGGAGAAATCGGAAAAAGAATTTAGGGTTACGGTTATGGGATAGAGTTAGCATTTAGTTTTAGGGTTAGGGTTATGTCTAGGCACAGGGTAAGCACTATGGTTAGGATAAGGGTTAAGATTCAAGGTTATGGATAGAGTTAGCTTCGTAGAGGGCTACAGGGAAATCGCCCGGATTAAAAGAAACCATCATCGCCACTCGCAGCATCTTCCCGCGGGGATGCTTCGCCAACTCACTGCGTTTCCAGGGCGACGAGAGTGCGCTTCGTGTGTTCGAACGAGCCGACACGCTCCAGGTATTGCACGCAGTATTTCTTCAGCTCTGTCTCCTTCGTCCGCTGACGTATGATGTCTGACGAGCGAGCAAGCGTCATTAAGGAGCGTGTGCGTGCATGTGTGCGTGCGTGCTCTCCCTCATCTTCCTCTTACTCCTCTTCCTCCGCCTCCACCTCTTTCTCCCCCTCTGCCTCCTCTCCCTCCTCCTCCTCCTCCTATTACTGCTNCGGCTCTACATCCAGGCCCGTAGCCAGCTTTCTAGTTGGGGGGGGGGGTTCGTTTTTTAATGTTGGCAATTTGCTCGGCAGGGGCGTGTACAGGATTTGTACCAGGGGGGTCTCACCGTAACCCATAGTTGGGAGCACGCGAAGGGGGGGTCTGGGGGGCCCTCCCCCACAAATTTTTTGAAATTACACCGCCTCAGATGCATTTTCTGCGCGAGCAAGGGGGGGTCCGGACTCCCTGGACCCCCC